CTGTAAATGAATTAATATGGCAGTCTTTAATTCTAAGAATAAAGTTTGCTTGGGAGCTCTGAATTTTGCCATCAATGAGATGTCTTTATTTAGAAATGATTCCATGAGGAATTATGCTTGCTTTTATTCAGTGGAGCGTATTATGGAGTTCTCTGATGCAGCAACTTGAAAGTTCAGGCTCTTCAGCTTTAATTTTTATTGGGGAAAAAAAAAAAAAGAGTTGTTTGCAGCTATTATGCCTTGAGGTATGATAAACACTGTGATGCTGGAGTGGGGCACAGAAGAAACAGTAGTCCAGTGATTCTTCCTGATGTAGTGGTGATTAAGCATGTTTATCCTAGAGTGGCCCTGGGATCTTCTCAAACCAACTTGAGACTGAATAGGACGACAGGAGAAAAAAGGCTGGCCAGGCTGTTTTGTTGTCTGCTATATGCTATTTTCTGATAAGAAAGTGTAATCTGTCATGCTTTTTTTGTGGTTCTCAAATTAGGAGTTGTAATGTGTATGATGTTTTAATGTTCTGGGTGTGTTCTTACTTTAAATAAATAAAAACACAAGAGAAGCACTAAAATAACCTCTTGTACCAGAGTGCACTAAATTTTATTTTGTGTTACATTGCCAGAAGCTATAATAGCTTGAGTTAATATTAGAATTGCCATGACTGCTATGATTAGATAGATAAATCATCCTTTATTTTTATTTTTCAAAAGTAGAGAAGAGCTCTTCAGGCAGCTGCCAGGTGAGACTTTGTGCTGTAGGTCTTAAGAGGCAAATGACTTTTGTCTCATCATCTCGCATTTTGTCTTAGCTTTTTAGTTGAGACAGACTAAATAATTAGGGATATGTTTAACAAGGGGATATCCTTCAGCTATCAGGGCGTGCAGAATTAATGAGACATCCCTCGTGGTTTTGGAGACTATTTGGAATATTGATGTTGAGGCTGGCAGTGGGGAGTGAGACAATGTATAGAAATATAACTGTGTATTTAATGTTAGAGATTGCATGTAACAGGCAGAATGTTCACAGGGAAGTGCTTCTGTCAGATTGCACCTAGGATGACAGGAATCTTTTTTCCAAGGCCAGGCTCAAGGATGCTCACTGTTAGAAACAAGTATGTATTGCTATTTTCAGATTTCCCATAAAGATGCTGAGTCCCTGGACAATTTCTAAGTGCTTTTCCCAAACAGTATCTTCAAAACGAAAAAACAAAAACACAAAACAAAAAAAGTTTCTGTAGGACTACTCCATTCTCTATGGAGGAGAGCAAAGGAAGACATAAGTACTTCAAATCTCTGAATCTTACATGTAGAGTTTGCTTGTGTGAATACCTTCCATACCTCATACCACCTTTGCTTTGCTTTACTTTTTTTCCTGGCAGGCAAGTGTGTTTTATACATTGGTACTAAGTCTGCCCTTGTTCCTGCCTCTCTGTAGCTGCTCTTGTTTACATCTGCTTTTCAACATGCTTTTGGAAAGTGCCCTCATTGTGCCTTCTGCCCGGCAGGAATGCTGGCAATGGGAAGCAGGCACAGCTCCCTTCTGCTTACAAAGTTCTCAAAAGTGAATCAACCGGTGACTTTCTTGGGCCTTTACTACTGGATGCATTAAGTTGGTTGATTTTCTGTGTCCTGTTTCCTATAAAGAAGAGAGAAAGCATAAACTGAGAACAGAGAAATGTTCCCCAACCTTATGAGATGTGCTGGCAGAACTACCTGTTCTGAAAGAGAGAGCTATGACTTGCACTGCACATGTTCTAAAAGCCAAGTCATTTCTGGAATATGTTTTGACATGTGAAAGTTAGGCTTTGACTGTAACTTGTGGTGGGGAAAAGTACTGAATCGTGGTAGAAGCTCCTGAAGGGGAAGGAAATGCTCAGTGTTAAAATACCGTATTATTTATTTGTATGATGATTTAAGAAATAATAATTAAAAGTGCATAATGGCTCATGCTAGGAAGAACTTGTGTTAAATGAATATGGCACTTAATATAATTTATCTTGTTTAGGACCAGACAAGTTATCATCTATATGGTGTGTATTTGGTCTAAATATTTGTGATAGTTCAAGTACCATTAATCACATCTTTATGTAACGCTGCTTTTAGACCATGGTAGCATTTACAGCATCCCAGTAAGTGTCTGTGCTGCAGTATTAAGTACAGAATTACATAGATTTATAGAGCAGGGGAAAGAAGAGGTAATGAATCATTTAGATTGACTTCCTGTATGTCATGAGCTGTTACACTTTGTTTAACTTTGTTTTTCGTTCCAGTAACTGTAGTTAAGCAGATATTCAACAGAATCATCTAGTTTTGAGACTGCAGTGGATGACTTTGTCATCTTTATTGGAATGTGTAAGGGTTATTCTGCATGTAGCTTGAATAAAAGAACAGTGCCCATTTCAAGGAGCCTATGACTTTATGTACACATTTGAAACATGAGATGGGCTATAAAGACTCTCGTCTTACAGGCAGCAAAATGGACTTAGAGATAAATTCTGATTGATGCTGAGGAACACAGAGAAGCTTCTAAAGGAGGCAAATACTGAGCTTTAGCTGAAGCGCGGTCCGTCTCTTACGCAATGAGCAAGGTGGAAATGAGTAGGTAGGTCAGACCTCCTGTCAGCAAGGAGCTATCAGGTGATATACAGTGAGTCACTGTTCTAAGAGTTTTTCTGACATTAAACATTTGTATATACAAATATACAAAAATATATATATAAAATATGTATGTATTTTGTATATATGCATTTGAGTGGCTGAAATTTATAGGAATCACTTTTGTAACACAGTGCAAGGAAAAATGATACCTAAAAGGTTGAATTAGTGTAGCAGAAGAGTTCAGACCTGTGCTGTTCCAAAGAGTGCTATGGACATCCCAATGAAATCTAAGATCACTTACGTGCACAAGAAGGCTTCCAAAACATATTAAGCATCACGTTTGCTCAATACACTATTCCTTATTTGCATGATAATTCCCTTTGATAAGTCACATGATAAGTAAAGTAAGTTCACAGTTGGCTGGAGCAGAGGAAGTCAGGTTTGTGACAGCAGGGTTTTCATGGTGGCTGTGAGCATCTCTGCTTGCTCACCTCTCTGCAGTCTTGTCTCCTGCCCTGGTTACACTGGCATCCCTGTGCCTGTGGATTGCCTGAGTTCTGTGTAGAAGACTGACTGGTGTGTGGCTTGTTCCATCCCATTGCAGGTCTGAGGCTGGCTCTTAATGGGTGATTGCAGGGACTTTTGTCCTACTCGTGATTCAATGGAATGACCTTAAGGTGCAAGCATTCCCCTTCAGTATCTAATTATAAACTGTTATTGTTTCCTATGAAGAGATGATAAATAGTAACAGATGTGCTTGTTTTTATTATTATTATTATTATTATTATTTATTTGTTTATTTTAATGCAGTGCCTACTTAAATCACATTAGAGTGAGAAGTGGAGACTGCAGTGGATAAAGTATTGAGATACTGCACTCTTGTAGCTATGGATTGCAAACATTTTAACTGTTCGCATGTGCCCTTTGGTGATTTGAAGACAATCAGCTTTCAACTTTCTCTCCCCATCCCTTGTCCCCGTTGTCTAGTTCATAGGCTTTCAGAGACTAACAAAAACAATAATCTCGAAACGCCTTTTTTGGAAGCAAGCGTGGCAGGGAGGCAAATCTAGAGAGGACAGTGGGAAGTATGTGTGTGTGTGCCTGTACGTGGTCATTGTTTTAGGGGACAAAAGAAACCAATTAGTTTTACAAGAAGACTAATTAAAAATGCTTTGTGCAGCAGCTCTTTATCTTTTTTCTCTGAAGTAATAGACCAAAATTACATAATTGCTTTAATTTTGACCTGGGAGAGTATTATCGTTTGGAATGAAGAGAGGCTGTTCATTTTCTCAGTTAAAAGTTGGTTAAGTTTTAGTCTTGGAGAATCCATGTTAATAAGAACAAATGTGTACCCTGCTGAAGGTGGCTTGTAATGCCCGTAGTGTCTTGAACTGGGGCTCAGCTGTGGATGGCAGCCTGGCTAGGTGACACTGCACAAGAAGCAAACTTTAATTGTTAAAGTATGAAGGAAATTTGTGATCTACTTTTACAGTGAATCACCTAAATCAGGAAACCTCAAACGCAAGGAATAGCCACCTAGTATTTCTGTGATCAACTGTAATGAGCTGAGTTTCAAGGCACCAAATTCCTCAAGGCAAATTGCAAAGAACAATCTAATGGGATAGATGAGTGGACAGTGGAATGCAAAAAAAAAACAAAAACAAAAACAAAAAACTGCATAAGATACATAAAACTACACAACTGGAGTGTCTTAAGCTGGCTGTTCTGCTCAGTGAGTTCTCTTGCTTGAGCTGTAACCTGCCTGGGTGGCTCAGGAAGCAAGCTGTCATCTGTGGGGCTGGGAAGCATCGTGCTTCTCGGTAAGGAAGAATGGGAGTTCTGTGCTTTAGTGCACGCTAAGCTGCAGTTGCACATCTCAGTGCCTAGAACTGATTTATTGATTTCATTTTCTAAGGCATATGGTGATAATAATAATAACACTGTATAAGCATTATTTAAAAATACAGTAATATACTGGGATTGGATCTCAGGCAGGCCAGTACCAAGGTACACACCCAAACTGCCATCATTTATTCAAGCTTAGGCACATCCAATTTTAAACAAATGGAAATCAATACTGCTCGCAGATATCAGCAGCTGGATTGAAGAAAAAACTGAAATGGTATTGCAGCTAAGAAGAGCCTGTATGAGAAAGCACGCAGATGTATGAGTGTTATGTATGTTTCTCTTCTGTTTTTTTCAGGAACTTTTAGAACACTATACAAACGTGCATTTATTATTATTACTGTCAGTTTATATTCCCTATGTAAAATGAATATGTGATTTCAATATTTCAATAGAAAGTGAATGCCTATGAATGCTGGGGCCTTTTTTAATGCTTATACATGGATCGATACAGACTCAGCCTGTTCAAATCAATGAATGCTGCTTTTTTCCTTTCAGATATGTGTCACAAAGATGTCTACACGGAACTGCCAGGGAATGGATTCAGTGATCAAACCTCTGGATACAATTCCTGAGGATAAGAAAGTCAGAGTCCAGAGGACCCAGAGTAGCTTCGATCCCTTTGAGAAACCAACTAATCAAGTGAAGAGGGTTCATTCAGAGAACAACGCTTGCATTAACTTCAAAAGTTCATCTGCAGGGAAGGAATCACCCAAAGTCCGACGGCATTCCAGCCCTAGCTCTGTAAGTTTGCAATACTGGTGTCTGGTGGTGTTAATAACACTGAATAAATGTTTTCTTCTTTAAGAAGAAACTTAGAAACAAAGCAGAAGCTAAAATGCTTGCAATGCAAATTTCTAATGTTTCATTTAAAATATATGTACCAAAATGTAAAAATATATATATATATATATTGAAAGATAACATGTTGTGAGATTCTTCTCACCTCGATCACTGTGTGTAGTTTTGACAAAACAATGAGAAAGACATAAAGCTATTAGCGTCCAAAGAAGGGCCTGCTATGAAGGTAGAGAAGGGTCTAGAGAGCAAGGTGTATAGGGAGCGGCTGGTTTGCTCTGCCCAGAGCAGAGGAGGCTGAGGACTCATGGCAACTGGGTCAGGGAAAGGGGTCTTCAGCAGAGGCTGACTGGGCACATAACAGGCTCCTTGGGGTCGCAGCCCCAAGTGCCAGAGCTCAAGGAGAGTTTTGTCAGTGCTGTCAGTCACAGGGTTTAATTTTGGGTGGTGCTGTATGGAGCCATGAATTAGACTCAGTGATCCCTGTGGGTTCCTTCCAACTCTGGATATTCTGTGATTCTATATCTGTGATACCTGTATCTATGTATGTTAAGGAATTTTTGAGCATTTTTCTCCTGATCCTGATTACAGCTGCCTTGATGTTTACATTGCAAATTTTGTAGATTACTTACTGGTGTGGACAAATTTTTTCCCACGATGTGTAGGAAACCACATGTATTGCGTTTTGATTTTTAGATTTTAGTTTCAGAGTAATTTGAGAAACCAGTCAGATTTGACTGATTTTGTTTACATTTTAAAATTCTCTTTTTAAAATAAAATAGTAAAGCTAGCATTTATTTACCTGTCAGAAACTGTGTGTGTGAGAGAAAACAACTGAGAAGGGGTTGGCCATACATCATCACTGTTGTTTTTCTCTCAAGTACTTTGAAAGAAACCAGATAAATAAAATGTCACATCTTCCATGAATAATACCCAGACATATTTTCCCCCAAAGACCTTCAAAATTATTGAAAAACTATGTCTGTTATGCTTTTGCAAGAAAAAGAATTCATAATAACGTGACCTTTGAGATGAAGACTGCAGATCTCAGCAGAATGTGTGTAATGCTGCAAATATTAGTTGGCACGAAGTAATTTTAAAGGTTGATTTTTCTTTCTTTTTTCTTTCTTTCTTTCTTTAATTTTGCTCTATCTTCTGGATATCTCCTGTCCTCTGTACAGAAGTTTGACTGAATTCTGTCAGACTTGTAAGAAGAAGTGACAGAGATTCATTTTCAGCAGATGAGCTTCTCTTAACCTGTGGGAATTTAATGGATAAGATGTCATGCCTCTAGGGGACTGTCCTTTGGAGAAAAGGTTACCTTTTTAAATGTAACCATCTGTAGCGAAAAGAAACGTGATTTTTCAGTATTATATGGTGTTATACAGCTGCTGCATGTCCCACATCAGCTCATAACAAGGAGTTCTTACCATAAAACTGCTACAAACAATAAGGAAGGATGGAGCTTTTATTTTTCTTGGATTGTTTTGGGGATAATTGTTTTGCATAAGCACTACAAGCCGTGCATATTCAGCATCCTGTCTGTTGGTCAGACTGCAGCTGTTTATTTCTTGCTGATGTCTATTGAAATAAAACTTTTTGGAAGGTGAGGAACTTCTACACTTACAGTTTGCACGTTGCTTACTTGTGAATGATGCGTGACTATTGGTTGGCAGCTCACCTATCAAAGTCCATGATTTTTTCTGAAAGGTCCTCACATTTTGTTGTGGTCTTAACTTATTCCACATCTCTGCTGTTTTGTCTTGTTCTTCATAGAATTTGTTACTAATTTCTGTTAATGTTTTGCACACTTGGTTGCTGTTCAAATAAAAATCCTTTCATTTACTTTGCTTCCGGAGTTTGGAACTTATTTTGGAAATGTGTTATTAGCATCTTGTTCTTCTTTTCCAAAGGGCTGGTGCTCTCCTGTGCCCACACACTGTCCTGTGATCCCCATAGTTTCTCATGTACATAACATTAATGTTTTCTCTACTGCTGTGTTGTTCTATAAACCCCCACCATACACACTGCTTGCTGATCTTCTTGTGGGCTGAGTCACAAACATTTATTGGGGATGTCTCATGTTTTAAAGTGGATGCATAGGAATTTCCTGAAGAACAATTCTGATTTCTTAACTTCCTGTAATTCTCTGTGATTTTTATAGCTCTATTCAGGGAAACTCCCTCCTTCTGCTCACATGCTCTGTTAGTCATTTTTTAACTCTTCCTCAAACAAGGTGCTCAGAAGTGCACTTGGCAGGGAATAGTTTGTGGAATAATGTGGGTATTTCAGTCAGTGAAGAAAGAATAGAAACTCACAGCAAAAGGCAGTGTTACCACTCTATTGATGGTAGTTCACGCTCGGTCCTTGACCGGCAGACCTGAAATTCTAACATCCAAGGCAAGGATGTGATCAAGCCATTCCCTTCCCCAGAGCTGGCTGCATTGCCTCAAGCACAAGATGTTCTGTTGCACATTTCATTGAACAGATGCCTGTATAGTTAGTTGCAGGGATTTGTCATTCTCTTGTTTTGAACTACAGTTGAATTGACCAAGGCTTTATTTTTTTTTTCCTTCCCTAGTCCTGGTGCTGTGTAGCAGATTCCCTTGATGGTTCCTTTTCAAATTATTACATTTTCTTTCGTGTTAGAGAGCTGCTCCATATTCTCCCTTATAATTCAGTAAGTTGCTTCTCAGGAAATTCTTCTGCTGTGTGAATGATGCCATTCTGAAATGACAATCCGATTTCTGTAAAATATCTTGAGCATGCTATGCTTCTTGAGTTGCACTGGCTACAGCTGTGTATTTGTGATGCAATTTTGACTGTTTCATATAAACTATTTTTTAAGGTACTCTGATACAAGTATACTACTTTCAGGTTTCATTTGCAGTACTTGATTCCTAGAGGCTCTGTATTAGAAGAAGGCTTCCTTCTTTGGAAGTTTCTTTGTTTTGGATGTGTTTCTTTGCTTTCATCATTTGAGTCCTCTGTAGACATCAGTTGGAGAATTGATGTCTTACAAAAGGTTGAGGCTTGCAAGCTCTCTATCAATCTGTGCCTCTTTCTAGTCAGATGGAAGTTCCTAATTGGTCTCAAAACTAACATTTCTCAATATAAACCTTTTTTTCTAATGCAACTCTCTGGCATTTATCAGCCTTGACGCTTGGTGAAAATCAACAAATAATACATGGATGTATTATTTAATATATAGATGGAATGTGATCTCTTGTACATTTTCTGTACCTTCTAAATGCTATGATGAGAAAGATGAAGCAGAAGTTTGTGGAAGCTGAAACTCAGTGTTCCTGCCCACGGATTGTCACTTGGAAAATAAACCATTTGCTCTTTAACACAAAGTAATTTTCTACACTTAATGTCACACCTCCAACCCCGTGGAAATTCCGTGTTGTTAATTAGTGCGGTAGCAGTATAATTAGCACAGCAAGAAGCTAGCATGTTAAATGTAAAAATCAGTTTGTCTTATAAGAACAACAATAAAAAAAGTCCTTCCACCTGACATTTATGTTCTCTTTTTCTGCAAAACAGTGACATTGCATTGTATTCCCCTGTCCTTCTTTTAAATATAGGAAAAACCCACAACATTTATGAGTGTGATATCCCAAATGTTTATACTGATTGAAATGAAATGTAATTATGGAATGAACACTATAACAGAACAAACATGCTTTTTTAATACATCAGAATAATGGTTGTTCTTCACCTTGCTGGTTATAAAGTAGATGTTAGCTTACCTGTGGGTCATCTGTCAGCTACTGAGGGTTGAAGGTGATGTGGATCAGAGCAGAGATCTGCCTAGCCACAAGAGTGTGTGTGTATATATATATATATATATACATACACACATATATATATATGTATATATATATGTGTGTGTGTGTGTGTGCATATGGAAAATGTGTATCTCTTCTAAAATCATTGTTAACTCTGCCTACCACGAGAATAAACTTGTTTTTCTCTGCTCGCTATTAGGTGAAAGAGTAAAACCATGAAATAAGCTAGGCAAAAGAAAAACAGACACAATTTAAAACCAAACATATGTGCCTCTGCCCAAAATAACTCTTGCTTTGGAAGTCGATTGGACTAATTCCCTGAAAGTTATATTTGAGATGCTTGCTCTTTGTGCACACACGGCCACGTTTATTGTTCTCCAAGGTAAAGTTTCATTGTATTCAGTATTCATATTTTATATACTACAACAGTGCTTTGCACAGTGTGTACATAGAATAGTGCAGGTTTTATAAGCTAACCAGTCCAGTCAAGATTTAGCTCCATGCTGGTGCTATGCATTGGTTTGTTCTTTGGATGACTTAGGATTCACGGCAGTGAATTCAAATGTCACGCTAAGTTATGAGCACTTTCAGTAGGAGAAAAACTAAATGCAGTGAAATACTATTTTTTAATACATGTAAATGCATAAAAGTGTATTTACATAAATGGAAAAAAAAAAAAAGAAATCAGACAAAAATTAGTTGAATAAGCAGTGCCTTACTACATTTAGTCTGCACTGTTTTTAAGAGAGCAATCTCTCCTCAGTTTTTGTAACTTCTGTTGATTTTCAGACCAGTTGCAACTTTCCTCCAAAGAAATGCAAATAAAAAATATGAACTGATCCTACTAACTCATTGCAAATCAGCTGCATAAAAAGCCTAACTTGAAAACAGAAGCTAAATTTAGAATTTTGTCTAAAAAGAAAGGGTTGTTTTTTCTGCCTAAAGACTTCATGTGCTGTTCTCACCTGTGTTCCTGTTCAGGTAGGTGGAACTGTCTCCATTTTTAGGAAGCAAAACAAGGATAGCTGCATCCTCCTTGGATAATATTTTTCATTGAGGTAGGATACATTCAGAGTTCAGTGTAGAGTGTAGGTTTTTCTTCTCAGGCAAGAGGGAAGCTCTAAAAATCTTAACCTGGGGGATACACTTTAACTG